TGGAATAGCCGGGAGCTCCCCCCACAGCCAGCTCCTCGCCCCGCTCCCCCCAGCGCCCCCTAGTGGACCTTACAGGAGTTGAGCCAACTGGACATGGGCAGGTTCCAGCTGGTGACGACTTCCACCATCGACCGGGGCAGCTCGACGTTCAAGGGTCGGGACACCGTCAGGTCCCTGCCAGGAGAGAGAGCGAGCAGTCAGGACGCCTGGGTTCTCTCCCCAGCCCTGGGAGGGGAGTGGGGTCCAGTGGTTAGAGCAGGGGGGCTGGGGCCTGGACTCCTGGGTTCTTTCCCCAGCCCTGGGAGTTGAGTGGGGTCTAGTGGTTAGAGCGGGTGGGTGGGGGGCAGGGAGGGGAGCCCGGATGCCTGGGTTCTCTCCCCCACTACTCACCATTTGAGGTTGTCCTTCTCCTCGGTGAATCCCGCCCCAGCCAGCGTGGCCGTGGCCTCGGAAAGGAATCCCACGAAGTAGCTGCTGAAGTGGAAGGAGATGGCGCTTTCGTAGGCCCGGAGCCACCTGCGGAGGGTGGGAGGGTGGGGGGTCAGGCCACGGGAACCTTGCTCCCAGAGAGGGGCAGGGCCCGGCTCCCACCGCGGCCGGCCTTCAACTCACCTCACCTCACTGCCAAGCCCCTGAGCGGCGTTGGCAGAGGGAGAACCCGGGAAATTCAAGGAGAAACTATCAGGTGGAGAACCAGGGTGCCATGCAGGGAGCGAGCTGGCCACCGAGTCACAGAGCAAGCCGGCCGCGGAGCGAGGCAGCCACCGAGTCACAGAGCAAGCCGGCCGCGGAGCGCAGAGCAAGCCGGCCGCGGAGCGAGGCAGACACCAAGGAAGCCGGCCGCGGAGCGAGGCAGACACCGAGTCACGGAGTGAGGCAGCCACAAAGCAAGCCGGCCACGAAGCAAGTCGGCCACCAAGCCAGGCAGCCACAAAGCGAGCCAACTACCAAGCCACGGAGCGAGCCAGCCATGGGGGCACGCAGTGAGTGACTCAGGGAGCTCGCCACCGAGCCACGGGAGAAGCCACAGGGCCACGGAGCCAGCCATGGCCGAGTCACTGAGAACCACAGACCTCCGAGCGAACGCTTCCGCTGGCCGTGGCAGCCGGCCAGTGAAGCCTGACCAGAGATCCAGGACCTCAGTGCCGGGGGTGGGGCAAATAATCCGCTGCGGCAACAAGCCAGCTGCAGGACGGCAAGGCCAGAGGGCAAGCGAGTCACGGAGTGAGGCAGCCACAAAGCAAGCCGGCCACGAAGCAAGTCGGCCACCAAGCCAGGCAGCCACAAAGCA